GGCACTCCTCGCTGTTGGAAGTGCGATGTTGGCATCAATGCACTGTCTAGACGCTTTTCCAGTCATGCCATGCCTTATAGAGATAGAACCGATAATGGACCTGCCTCTACTAGCTCCTCCTTTCAGCAGTTTTGTAAGCAATACCAAATTATGCATAAAACAGGAATTCCCTATAATCCCCAGGGACAGGCAATTGCAGAAAGAGCTAATCGAATCTTAAAGACTCAATTACAAAAACAAAAAGGGAGAGAGGGGTATTATCCTACTCCACAGAATCAGTTACATCGTGCCCTTTACACTTTAAATTTTTTGAATTGTGACGAAGAGGGTCGCACAGCAGCGGAGAGGCTTCAAGCTCCTGCTGCCGTGGCATCTGCTGGTGTGGCAGGATGGAAGGATTGACAAACAGGGCGGTGGAGAGGGCCAGATCCAGTAATGATGTGGGGGAGAGGCCATGTTTGTGTTTTCCCAGAAGGCGCCTCTAACCCCATCCGGGTGCCAGAGCGAGCAGTGCGTCACGACCACGGACCTGAGAGAACAGCTCATCCCGCCGTTCAAGAAGCTGAAAATCACACCCCCCGTGATGAGGCCAGTTCAGCCACCAACCCCGAAGAAGAAGGAGCTCGGGAAGCAGGTGACCAAGGCCACCCGAGAAGCTAGTGTCCCCACATGGGGTCAACGGAAGAAGCTGACCGCAGATGCCCAGCAACTGGTGAAAGAACAGGGGGTCCAGGTAACCCCTTCCACACTTTTTGTTGCGACGATGGCACTTGTCAGCTGCCAGGTAAGTATGGCTGGCAACAGAAACTTACTGGAGATATGTTCCAGACCCGCCTCCAACAAACATATAATTCCTTCTTCCCATGCCAGGAGAGTTTGTTGGTAACGCCCTGGCCACGAAAACAGAAAATTTACAGAAAGATCTGTGGCATTGAGCTGCCGCCCTTAATTTTCTTAATTTTACTGGCTCTTTCTTAACTAATAATGTGCTAGGGGGAGGGACCGAGGCATGGAAAGGTTACTGATTGTATTAGGGTCCGAGATCGTGACAGAGAAAAATTGCTAGATTGTCTCAGAAAACAATGTATTGTGATTCAACCCAGCCAGGTGTGACTCCGTACTTGTAAACTTTGTGTGAACCCTGCCAGTGCCAGGAAATGCTTTGTAGTGTTGCAGATAAAAGGCTTTGCTGTACCCTCGGTCGGCACTGCAGGCTGCGAAGCCCCTTACTGAAGGGACGAACTGTAGTCAGCTGGCCAGCTTAATAAAGGCTCCTAAATTTAAATTCTGAGTTGGTGGTCTATCTGACTGATTGAACCCATAACAATACTAAAGGAGCATGTTCATCAAGCCCTTGCTATGGCTTTAAGAGCCTGTGTCCAGCCCCCATGTGCATTAGTCATCGGAAATGTGAACATCACCAGATTGGACACCCATTATGCTGTCCAATGCCATTACTGTATGAAATTATATCTCCGGCAAAGCTGGCAAAAGAATTGCTGGATGATTTAAAAGAATTTAATCCATGGAAAATGTCTGGAGACATCGCCTGGTACCTAATTGGATTCCTTTGTGTACTACTAATCTTATCCTGCTTTTTTTCAGTCATCAGCAAGCCCCTGCGATCTCAAGTCCAAAGGCTCCAACTAGATGTCCACAGACTGCTTTTGAAAAATGAAAACGGGGGAGATGTGGGAGGCCCCCTGCCAGGGAAGGCGCCATGGTTCTCTTTCAAGTCACGTTGACTGAACTCAAGGCGTGGGCATAGCCCTACCTTGGGGGCATTTCCAGCCAAAAGGTGAGAATGCCTTCAGCTCAACTCTTTAAAGCCTAGGTGCGGGGGAATGGGTTTTTATTATGTAAATCCAGTCAAGCACCGGGAATACCTCCGGTATCTTGAGTTTTGGTGAAACCTCCTGATATTTGGGGGAATTTGGACTATAAAGTAAACACGCTGCTTTGGCATTGGGCCTCTCTGCCTCTCCGCCAGAAGAGGACAGAAGCCCGCCCAGACCCAGCTTTCCTTTCTATTTCTGCGTCTGTCTTTCATTTCTCAATCCCAAAGTGCCTCTACTTGAAGGAACCGGTTCGCGCTCTCTCTCCGTGCTGGACGCCTGCTGGACAAGGAGAAGGGAGCTCCACGCTCCGACACAGTAATTAATGCATTTTTCCCTTTCCAGCGTGACTTTCCGGAAATAAGCAGGAACTGGGTAAAGAACAATGTGGACTCGAGCCTCAGGAAGCCTGGGTCTTGGAAACTGACTGATCATTTGCATGAAGATGCAAATCCAGGAACATGCCCAGAAGCAAGAGCCTCTCATGCCCGGTGGGCACTGGTTAGAGGCCAGCCCACGGCTGCTCAGTTGGGAAGGAAGAGAACAAATGGAGAGAAGATGTGACATTGATGGGGTTTACCTACAAAGACGGTGTCTAGCAGGGGAGGCATGGAATGAATATTGGTTCTCCAGGCAGGAGAACTTCCGGGATGTGTGTCTGTCCCTCATCGGAAGTTGGTGTGTGTCCCACACATGAGGTGTGGAGTGGTGCCCTAAAGTCCATAGGCCTGGACCCTGACCCCAGCTGGTACCGTTTGTCATTTGGGGTGACCCTGAACCCCAAATGCTACCCTGGAATCTCCACACTGAGGGAGGGGGTGACTCCCTTCCTTTGGGGATGATTAATGAGGTGGTGTTAAGGAAGTCCCCAAGCAAGTACATTTTCATTCCTGTCTCTCTCCTTGGAAGGAAGCCCTCACCTTCAAAGCTTCCTTTGGGTATAACTATGGCTCTAAGGCAGGGGTGAGGAACGTCTGGCCCGTGGGCCATATAAGGCCAGTGAAATCATTTGTCTGGCCCTGCCAGGGCATTAGGGGTGAGTTACTTAAATGTTTGACCGAATAAAGGTGGCTAAATTTTAAGTTGATAATTTTGTGTGGCCCTCAGATGATGTTATAAATATCAAAGGGCCCTGTTCCCCACCCTGTTCTAAGGTGAGGGACAGTCCAAGGAGCAGGGCTCACAAAAGGGCCACAATAAACGTTTGTTCTGCCTTTCCCCAGACTCATGGCCTGAAACCAGCCCCAATCCAAAGTCCTCCACCAAGGTGTCACTGTCTCCTCCAGCCTTCCCCGACCAGGGCATGAGCATGGTTCACAGCCTGCTTTTTGGGGTCACTCTGGTGTCTTCAGCTAATGCACAGCACTCAGGGAAGACCCCCTGCTTTCATGTTTTCTGTTTCCCCCACAGGGCCAGGCACTGTACCAAGCCCAGAGGTGGCCCCAATAGACATTCTATTCAATTCCTGCAGAGCCCATTTGGTGTCCCTGTGGAGGAGGCCGAGCTCTAGGTGCCTCCTCAATACCAGCTCCCTCTGTGGGCCCTCAGCCAGCAGGGAAGTCCCCTGGCCCAGAGCCCAGCCAGCCCTCCCTCTGGGGACACGAAAAGGAAAGGAGGCTCCCAGAAAACCACAAAACCGAGCCCAGATTCCTCTGTACACAGACTATCATTTCTGAAATATCTCTGGATGTGTCTTTCCCTTTGTGGTCATCCAGCTCCATTTCTCTGGTCCCTTGCAAACTCCTGCTCCAGGAATGAGAGTGTGCAAAAGCGCCCATGGGAACAAGTGGGCACAGTAGGTTAGCAGGTAGGCAGCGGGAGAAGGAGAGAGAAGGGGGTGGAGGTTCAGAGGTGAGGGCTCAGGGTTGAGGCATCTGGGAGCCTCACTCTCCTTGGTGTCACTCTCCTGGAGGCACTCAGGGCTCAGGGAGATGTCACAGGGTGCGTGTGCCTATGCCCACCTGGCAGGGAAGGCGATGGTGGAGAAAGTCCACTAGAATCTACAAGCCGAGATGAGGTAGGGCAGGTCCTGGGATGGTGTGAAGGGATCCAGAAGGTCCCCAGGCCCTGTGCAAGGTGATAAAAGGACCACCGGGGACAAAAGACATCTGGGATTGAGACAGAGGCTTCCAAGAAAAGGCTGTGTGTGCAGAAGGGCTTCTGTGGGCACCGTGGACCTCAGCAGGCAGCCACCAGGTGGGGAGGACCCCACCCAAATCAGGCAAGAGCCCCTCACCTCCACACCACCTGGACCTCAGCAAGGGCAGCCAGGGCTGTGCGAGCCTTGGAGGGTACTCGGCCTCTAGGAAGATGTGAAAGTTTTCCCTGTGCCCCAAAGTCCCCTCTTGGGTGGGAGACAGTGCCCAGGAGATGTTTGTATTTTGAATTGCCTTAGTATTTTCTAGGAATGAACTTGAAACAGAAAGAGATCAAATTACATCTGAGGCCAAGTTTAAATATTTCCACATCAGCCAAATAGGGGCCACGGAGTAAAGGAAGGCCGTTCTGGGAAGTAAAAGAGGCGTTATTTTTGCATCTCTGGGTCTTTGCGTGCAAAGTTCAATCCTAGACCATAAAGATTTGCCCCTGGGCTGGCCCAAGACTGTGAGTTCCTGCTCTCCCTGTGTCATGGGGAATCTATGTTACTGGTGTGCAGATGCTATTGGCAGAGGGCAGGGGTACTATGCAGTGTTGGCAGGGACCGGGCCCTACTCTTCAGCGTCCCCTGAGCCAGGCACAGGCAGCTTGGATAGTGTTGGGGGAACCAGCCTGAGCTGACAGGCGCCATGGTTTCCTAAGGGGCAAGGCTGGGGGAAATAACTGTTCCAGGTACCTGGTTCCATGGGCGTGAAGAACAGTCCCGTTGACAGTGATCTGAAGTCCGTCCTGGAGGCCCCCCTGGATGGTCCCAGAGAAGGGGACGACCTGCAGGGAGAAGAAAGCAGTCAGTTAGGGTCCTGCTCCTTCTGTCCGATCCCTCTGGCACTTGCTAGTGGCCGGCCTGGTGTGTCAGGCAATGTCCCAGGGGCTGGATGCAGCTGTGAATTGGGCATATGGAGTCCTAGTCTTATGGATCTCCCAGGGCGATGAAGAAGTAGACCCGAATCTGGGGAGTTACACATACATTCTGAGATTGATAAGGAGACCGCCGGGCTCTGAAATGATGTAACTCAGAGCTGGCCTCTCTTAGGAGGAAGTAGCAGCTTTCAAGAGGAGGAAGTAGCATGAACATGGCCCTGAGAGGGGAAGGAACCAGGGTAGTGAGAGGGGCTCTTAGCAAAGGCCCCAGGGCCCTGGTTGAAAACTCAGAAACCCAAGGGACCAAAGAGGCCAGCAGCCTATTCTAAAGGATAAACCTTCTGCTCCCTGAGAAGGCCAAGAAGAAGGCATCCTCCTGCCCACCCCTCCACAGAACAGTGTGACCATGACCTTTGCCCTCCCAGCCACCTCAGGTAGCACCTGGATGCTCTGCAGCCTCGGGGCCGCCTCCTCCTCTCCTGCTCCTGCTCCCCAGTCCCTCCCCAGGCCTTGGCAACCTCCGAGGCCCTAGTGAGGTGTCTGCACTCCTCCTCGGCCCCATAGAGCCCGTTTTGTCAAATCCCTTCCCGGGCCACTTGAAAGGACAATGGTTATGGCGAGGCTTGCATCATTTTAGAGCCAGGCATCATCCAGGTTTGGAGCCTAATTCTGTTGCTCGTTTCCTGGGTGACCTCAGGAAGCTTATGTCACCTCTTTTGCCTCAGTTTCCTCATCTGTAACATAGGGGTACATCTAACCTTCTGGGTAAGATCAATGAGTTAGTGAGAAAAGGGCTGGGGTAGAGACTGGCACATAGTCGGTGTCTCTACCACACCCTTCCCTCTTGGTCTCTCTGAGCAAAATTCCACACTGGTTTCTTCATGACTTTTAAGCTAACCTCCAGGGTGCCTTTTATCTGATGTGCTCTTAACCTGCATTAACCTAGGAGATAGCTTCCAGCTTCTAGTCAATCTTCACATTTATCTAGTAGCTAATGTCTTCTCTTCTCCTTTAAGCCAGCTCCCTACAGAACTGAAATGCTTATAGGAGCCAGGCAGGTGATGTGTAGGAGGGAGATTGTCAGGTAGGGGCAATAGGGAGTGGCAGAGACCATGACAAAGTAGACACCATCTCTCTCATCTAAAGGGACAACATCCTCTCACCTCTAACCTGGACGAATTAATTAATTTAGATGGATTAACCCCTCTGCTGGGTCAGAGCTTGCTCTCAGCTCCTGGCCAGGCCTGGAGGCTGAGGACTCTTTCCCCCTCTTCCTCTCTGGAGGTTCAGACAGCAGAGCCAGGCCCCCAGGCCACAGGATGCACAGCCTCCTTCTGGAGGCCCAGTGTCCCCAGCGGGCACCCAGCCACAGCTGGCACAGGGGGCTCACTGCAGGGCCAGCGGGAGCCTTTCAGGCAAAGAGGCTGCTGCCCCAAGGGTTCTGAGGTGCTTCTGGGCCCATTTCCCTGGCTGTTCCTAGTTGTCCTGGAACAGCCCTGGCCATTATCAGGGCCACCCCTACAGATGGGGAGACTGAGCACAGAAGGTCTGGTAACTTGCCCGAAGCCACCCAGCCGGTCAGTAATAGGGTGGGGTTGGGTCCAGCACCCATGCTGTGAAGCCCCACACAGGCTGCTTCTCAGGATGAAGCACAGACCTCCTGGCTCCTGGCTCCCTGAGGGCTTCCCCCACCAAACAGCGAGTCCTGTCCTGCCTGTGGTCCCAGCTTCCACCCTGGCCTCTGAGAGGCGGAGCCAGATGAGGCCCGCAGGGCTTGGCAAGGAATGGGGCTGAGGCCCCAGGACAGATGCTCATGGAGTTAAGCAGATCAGCGGAACAGCCGGGCTGTGCGATCTTCCTGGCACACGCTGGAGGAAGAGGGAGGTGCATGCTGACTGATGGAAATCACTGGTCACCCGGGAGAGGTGACTGCGTGGGGTGGATGGGCTCTCCTCCCGCCTCTGGCAGCTACACCCATCCCCTACCTGTTTGTACTCCCAGACCCTGATTGAACTCTCTGCCGCCCAAGCAGGATTTTCATTCTAATTTGAAAGAGCTGGCATTTGAATCCAAGGTCTGAAAAGTAAAAACCAGTCACCAAGATAAGAAAATGGCAGTGCCTGGAAGGAGGCTGGGATCTCCCATTTTACAATGAGCCTAAGGGGACACGCTCTCACCCTGAGGCCACCCGCCTACCCCACACCCCACCCAGGAAGGGCTCTCTCACTCCTCCTCCGGGCCCTGTTTACCGAGGCTGGGAGAGGCTTCCACGGGCCGGTCCAGGGCACAGTGACCTCCTGGGCCTGGGGCTGCCACCTGCCTGCCTTCCCCCATTACTGCTCTCCCTGTGGGCGCCTCCTCTTCTCTGGTAAATCAAGGCACCCTCCTCCTCGACCATCTGGGACGTCTGGGAAGTGGCCTCGATGCCTCTGAGCCTCAGGTTCCCATGGATGGCGTGGGGATAATAAAGCTCAGAGGGTTACACACAGCCACCCAGACAGGCCCACACATGTGGCCAAAAGGTGGGAAAGGCAGCCCTTTGCCTCCCACACTGCAGGGCAGCCCCCTCCTCTCTCACTCCCCAGAGGGCCCCCTGCACACACCCTGGACCTGCCCCTGATAACTCACCCCCCAGGGAGCAGACCCCCCTCAGGAGGTCTTCCCTGCTCCCCCCAGACTCCTAATCATGCTCAACACTTCAAAAGCCCCGACCGCGTGCCAGGCACTGTTCAAACACCCTAGATATGCTACCTGCATCCTTACCCCAATCCTGGGAGGCAGCTCAAGGATTACCCCTATTTTACAGATGTGGAAACGGAGGCCCAGAGAGCTAACAGCAGTTCGCTTGCGGTCACTGAGCTAGGAAACGGCTGAACCAGGGAGGCCATCTCCTAAGTCAGTGCCCAAGCCGGGCTGCTGGGCTCCCGGGAAGTCCTGCTGGCCTCCCCTTTCATTCCAACAAAGCCCCACTCTCCCAGGGCTGACCAGAGCCCTACTCCCCTCAGCACCCAGGACAGGACAGGCGCCCAGAGGGAGCTCAGCGCCATCTGTGCAATGCCCCAATGCGGTGATTGTCATCCCTCGGTCCTGAGAGGCAGGTGAGACCGGCCTGGGGCAGAGGTTGTGTCAGGATTGCCCATCGGGCATGCCTACCCCCATGCACCCTCTGCCACCCCAGTGTGGCTTCCTCAGAGAACCAGAGCGGCTTCCCTGGCAAGGCAGCCAGCTCAGCCCTGTGCCCACTGCCTGGGAACTCACTGGGTTCACGAAGGGAGCCTGGACGCTGCTGAAGGCCATCTCTCCACCACCTCTGTGGTCCCGGCTGCTCCTCACACCAGCCAGGCAGTTCTCGGCACTGGGAAGGACTTTTCTATGAAACAGAAACCAAAGCTATCGGGCAGTTATTCAATGGGAGGAGCCAGGAGCTAGAGGAAGTGGGTGTAGAGAACCGGGAATGTGGACTGCGGACGTGCTGGGGGAAAGGGCGAGGTGGGACTCAGGAACAGGTAAGTAGATACTCCCACTCCAGTGACCTTGATGTTTCTATCTCCCTCTCCCTTCCTCTCTGAAATCAACAAAAAACAGATTTGAAAACCATCCAGATACTTATTTTATGGCATTACAAAAATAAATTTAAATAAGTATTCAAACAAACGGTGAGAGGTGCAGGTGCAGCTAAGTTTACTTTGCAGGTTGTTCCTCCGTCACTTAAAGGCTCTGGGTACAAGGGTCTTTACCACAAAGCTGTAGTGCACTTCATTTATTAGGAATTAATCACCTAAAATGTATACTTTTACACAGAAAGTGTTACTGTACTGTCACGCCCACTACTGAACAGATTCATTTCTTAAACCAGGTGATACAGAATCCATGCAATTTCCACAGGCACTTCACTTGCCAGGGAACTTCTCGTTCAGCAGGTATATGCGAAGGTTCACATCCACTGTCGCCTCACCAAACATTTCCCTTACAGCTACACCTTCATATTGCATCTCAAGTAAGTCCTGAACGCGGACCTGCACCTTTCCCATCTCGGCACCCAGGAATCTGGATTTGACGTCCAGCGTGCCCACATCTTCAGGAGCTCTGCTATCACAGTGACATTTTAAAACTGGTTTGTCTGCAGCTGGTCGATGGCCAGCAGGACACCCTTCTCACCAGCTTTGCGGCTGTGGACTTGCCTCCCTGTGCCCTCTTCACCCACTTGGATTCTCCAAAAAGGAGAGAAGTGCTGACTCATGCTACAATGTGGATGAGCCTTGAGGGCACTGTGCTAAGCGAACTAAGCCAGACACAAAAGACAAATACTGGATGGCTCCACTCCTGTGCGGTCCCTAGCGTAGCCAAACTTCTAGAAAAGGAAGTAGACTGGTGGTTTCCAGGGACTGGGGAGAGTGGGAAATGATTTGTTGTTCATACGTATAGTGTCAATATTGCAAGTTGAAAAAAGATTTGTGGATGGAAGGTGGTCATGAGTCGGAGAGGGAACATTTTTCCTCTACCTTATAATTAAATTGATGGGAGACAACCCAGGCTACCCTTTCACCTCCCGGCAGTTGGCCAACGTGGATGTGAGACCCGGCCGCACCATCCTGGAGAGTTGGGCACGCGGGACGGCAAAGGTGCGGGCGCCGGAGTAGAGCGCGCGGTGCCCGGCCCGGGAGCGCGGCGGCGTGTGCGGGGAGGCCCGTGGGCATCCGCCTGTCCCCACTAGGGGTGGCCGTGTTCTGCTTGCTGGGGCTCGGCGTGCTCTTCCACCTCTGCTCGGGCTTCCTGGCCGGCCGCTTCAGCCTCTTCGGCCTGGGCGGCGAGCCCGATGGCGGCACCGTGGACCTGCGCGAGGTGCTGGCCCTGTCGGTGCTGGCCGCCGTCCGCGGTCCGCGGGGGCGAAGAGGTGAGGTGCGTTCGGGAAAGCAACGTCCTCCAGGAGAAGTCCAAGGGGAAGACGCGCGAGGGGGCCTAGGGCAAGATGACCAGATGCGGGGACGCGCTGTCCAACCGCAAGATGTTCTACCTGCTCAAGACCGCCTTCCCTCACGTGCAGCAAGTAACACTGGCTTTCATCATGAGCTGCTGAACACCAGATGTACTTCACACAAGAATTCGCAAACACAACGCACAACATTTTCCATTTTTCTTTGACCCTGCCCTGCTTTATCACAGTCTATATTTACATGTGTTTGCATCTCTCGAGTTCCCTAGAGTTGGTAGAAGAAACAGGAGTTTCAGAGAAGTTGACATAGTTGTAACAGTAGCAATAGTAACAATTTATTGAGTGTATTCTGGGTGCCCAGACACTGGCCACACAGGACTTCATTTGATCCTCACAGCGACTTCAGAAGTAAATTTTATTTGTGCCCACGTTACAGACGGGAAATCTGCAGCTCATGGCACTTTACTGCACAGTCTATATCATCAATTAACTTCATTGTAGCTGGATCTTTAGGAGGCTACTTAAAACAGAACTTATGGTGTGGATTCCTAGGGAAACAAAATTGTACAAGCTTAAAAGCAATAATAGTGAAATATGGTAAGCAGAGTTGAATTTTTTTAAGGTAAAGATAAAAATATCCTTAAATATTGAAAACATAAATCTGTTTGTGCATGTCCACATGCCAGCTCCACCCCACTCCACTTCTGCCAAAGCTTTTGTCTTGGGTAACTTTCACAGGATTCTGGATTTGCTTTCTCACTCATTAGCAAACACTGAGGGCACAGCTGCCAAGGGTAGAGAGCTGCCTTTTACTAAACACTAAAGCTAAACTTTTGGAATTGTAAAAAAATAATAATAAAATAATAATAATAATAATAATTAAAAAATAAATTGACGTGAGACAGATGAACAGGAGAAAAACCAAATATAATTGTGCATGTACAAGGGCTCTGTAAGAATATGAGGCCCACAGGCTGTCAGACAGTTGAGGCTCAAATGCTGCCCTAAGGTCAGGAGAAGGGGTAGGGGCCTGGGACACTTCACAGGGAGGTGGGAAGAACAAATATTTGCTTAACCAATGTTTGCCATGCCAGGCAGAGAAGTCTTTCTAGTATAAATAGAGGCTGTCTTTGGTAATAGCTCTCTTCCTCCCAATCCCAGTTGGAGGGCAGAAGAGGTTTAAAAAATTTCATGAATTTTCTATGTCTTAAAAATAACCAGCTTAAATGATACATAAGCCAAAGACACATATTTGGGGGGTGAGGAGTTTTTGAAACTTTCCCGAGACTTCTCACAGTTCAGAAGTTAAGTAGGTGGATTGCTCCATCTCAAGGGACCCGTCTCTTGATCCTGACAATAGGTCAGTTTAATTAAACCCATTTCAGTTATGCAGTTGGGCTCCCAAAATTAGGACTATGGCTAAAGCTATCGGGTGTTTATGAAGGCGTTTCTGTGGAAACAAAAGAAAAACACAGGTTAATGCTGGGAAGACTGTGCACCCAGTCTGAGTCTGGAGCCAGCCAGTGAAGACGATTCCTAGCCGTCTGGCTCCAGCATGTTTAGATGGAGAGAGGGCGGGCAATGGCAATCCCGACAGCTGCTCTGAGTTTGCAGCGTGAATGTCTCTAGACACGAGGACAGTTTGAAAGAAACCTTACCCCTCCCCAAACCCAAGGAAATACAGTATCATCAAAACGTAGCAAAGGCCTGAGAAGGTGTGGGCGAAAGGGGCCACATGCTGACCTGACAAGCTCAGGGGAGGCCTCCCTGGCGGTCTTGCAAGCTCAGAGACCTAAAGTAACCACAAAGGATGGTCTGAAATGAAACTTTAACTAAAAGCAGTTATGGTGGGCAGTTACGTCCTAGGCCGGTATCTTCACTGACAAGGCCAACCTTTACCTTAGCTGAACCTGTCTGTCTTTTTGCATCTATGATAATATACCCTTGAAATGTCTGGGTAACTTCCCTTTCATTTTTCTGGACCCCTTGGGGCACAACCTAATGTGCCTGGGCTCCAGGACAGATAGCACAAATCCCATCATTGTTATCATGTTAACACATTGCATGCGGGAAATGTATTTATACGTTTTACGTTGACTGTAAGAAGTAGAGCCACCTGTTAGCGTGCGATAAAAACTACCCGAAAACAATGCATTAATTGTTCCTGCACCCACCTAAGTATGTGTCTATCATTTTACTTTTTATCCAATCCCAGCGGTTTCCCCCGCTTTTCTTTCTCCCGCCTCTCTAGTCTATCACCAGTGGGTTTCATGTAACCCACCCATGTCCCTTTCCTTTGATTGCCATGTATAAATACAGATGTAACCCCGCCATTCTCCGGAGCATTATCTCAATTCGTTGAGGTTCTGCTTCCTGGCATATGTCGACAGTTTGGCTCAGATAAACTCACAAAAACTCTTTACAGGTTTCAATGGTTTTTTACGTTAACAGAGGGAAGTGCAGCGCCGATCAAGGGCCGGAAGGGAGCAGAGACTGTGCTAGGCCTCGGGAGCCTCGGGTGCTGGGGTGACGGCACCACAGCTCTGGGTCCTGGCCCTCCTCCCGGGCTTGGTGGGGACAAGTGAGGGCCTGTGGCCCCGGAGGCTGCACTTCGGTGCGTTGGAGCTGAGTCATCTGGTTGTAGACCAGACATCGCCTAAGCCCTTCCTTTGTTTTTGCTCCAATAAATCTTGCCACCAGACCTCAAATCCTCCTCCGCCTGTATCCCTGAAATGTGTTTGCTGCAAGCCTGTGGAATAATCCTATTTCCTCCGGCAAAATAAGAACCAAGAGGTGAACCTGGGAATTGCCCCCTTCCCAACACTAGCCTCATCAGGACAGTAAGGCACTGTGGTAAAGACAGACAAATAGATCGGACAGAATAGAAAGTCCTGAAAAAGACCCACACTTATTTGGTCGATGGATTTTCAACAGAGGCACCAAAGCAATTCAATGTGGCAAGGCAATTCAAAGTAGCAAATGGCGTTCACAAGTTAGCTGTGTGTAAGGAAAAAGAGAAACCTCGATCTATACCTCATGCCATACACAAAAAGTAAACTAGAAATGGATCTTAGATGTAAATGTAAAGCCTAAAACTATAAAGCTTTTAGGGAAAAAAAATAGGAGGAAATCTGTAACCTGAGTCTAAGCAAAGCCTTCCTGAACGGAACCTGAAAGGTATCATAAAAGACAGGAAAAGACAAAGTGGACTTCACAAATTAAAAACTCCTGCGCATCAACCTGCTGAAATAGCTACAATGATAAAGACGGACAACGCTCCTTGTTCGCAGGAATACGGAGCAGCTGGAACGCTCGCACCATGGTCCTGACAGTGCACAATGTCCATCGCATTGGCAATGGTTCAGGCAGTTCCTCCTAAAGTTAGACGTACCTTCTCTATGACCTAGACATTTCGCTTCTAGGTATTTACTCCAAGGGAATGAAGTCGTAGGTCCACACAAAGGCTTG